CATGATGTGAAATAATGAAATGTCAAATTACTAATAAAAATAAATATTTATACAAAAAAAGTTATATAACTACTTCTAGTAAAAATGTGTTATTCTTCGATTTTTTATTTTTTAATTCTTTTTTAAAATAAGATAATTGGAGACTCACTTAGTACAATTGAATAAAAACTATGTAATAGAAGAACATTTAAGAGTTAATAGAAATATGAATTAACCAAAAAAATGAAAAGTTTAGTTATGGATAAATAATGTTATCAAAAAAATTGTTTTTAAAACAAAGTATAAAAAGAGTTTTTCCATAAAAGTCTTTAATTGGTTTGATTCCTTTTTTGTTAGTAATTTCTACTTCTATCACCAATTATATTTGTGTGTTACTATTAGTTTATCCTTACTTGTTGAAGCTGAAGAGAAGTGTGATGATGTCTTTAGAAAAAAGAGAGAAAAGAGAAGAATGTGATTATTAAAGGGTTGAACTTAAAAATATATTAATAAGATCATGCAAGTGGAAGAAGCTGGCATTATAGATAAAATCAATCAAGAAACACAATTATTAAATGAAGAAGTAAAAAGACTCATGGCAAGTTATCAAAATGAAAAACAACAATGTGATGAATTACAAAAGAGCTGTTTGTCTTTTTTATTTTTCATGTTATATAAAACAAACAATTAACTCAAAGACGATAACCAGTTACAAGAAATTCAACGAATTAAAGATGCTATTTCAGAATTTGAACGTAATCATGCACAAGTTGAAGAAAAAATTAGGAACGCAGAAGCTGAGATATCTCAGTTACATGCCCGTATGGATAATAAGTGATTGTGAAAAATAAATGAAAAGTTTTGGGTTTAAAGTAAAGAAGTAAAGAAATAAAAGGTAAATGTTAAAATTAATAATAAAACTACTATAGTTATTTTAATTTAGGATTTTTTTATTTTAATAGAACTTTTGTTTAATTTAATGGAAGAAGAAACTATTCAACACAAAGAAGAAATATGGGATTTAGTCTCAAAATATATTGATGAGATTGTTACATATTCTATAAGAAATGAATTATACAAATTTACAGATAATTTACTTGAAATTCAATTGAATTTTTACAAGACTCAAAATAAATTAAATATGAGTGTCTTTGTGAATTCATTAATCTTATTTCTATTAGAACTAAGTCATTGTGGTTCTCAAACAAACACAAGTCTTATTCCTAGAAGAGCTTGTTCTGATTTTATTGAAAATAAAGAAAGTTCTCAGGCTTTGTCACAATGGTGTGATGATTTTATTGGATTTTTTACTATTAATTCATCTATTCAATCAACACTATTGAATTATATTACCTCTCTAGTATTTCTTATTAATAATTTCATATTTCATTATCAGAATTATACCGATGAAAAAGTAATTTTTGAATTATGTCAGGCTAAGTTACAACTTAAAATATTGTTTGATAAACAACCATCACAAGCATCAATCTTCAACCAAAATTTAAAACAACCAACACCATCATTAGATGAATCTACAGAAAGTGAGTCACCCTTTATTATTCCTGAAAAAGTAATTTCTATCTTACACACTAATAAACCGTATAAACACAATGAAAATAAAGAAGAAAAGAAAGGATCAGAAGCTATTGATTTATTTGAAGATAAAGAGCCTGATAATACTAATACTAAAGAAGTTAAAGTATTAAATAATCCAGAGAAAATAGAAACACCTAAACTTGTTAACAGATTTAGTTTCTTTAGTATTTTTAAGGAAAAAGAATCTGAAGAAGATTTAATTAATGAAGAAGCTTCTTTGGTTCAATTAAAATCACGAAGTGATAAGGATTTAAAGAGATTGTCTATTTCCCAAAGAAACCATTTCAATTTTAATTTTATTAAGAATAGTAGAAAGAATTTATTGGCTGAAACTTCGTTAAGGAGTAATGGAGTTTCTCCAATGGAAATTATTGAGAACAAAGAAGAAAATGATAAAGAACTTCATATGGAAAATGAGTCAAAAATTCTTTCATTAAAGAAAGAAGAAAAAGAAATTAATAAACCAAAAGAATTAACAACTTCTAAGAAAGGTTCATATCAAACACTTCAAACTATTATTAATAATTACAAAAACCAAAAAGATAAAAAAGAATTAAGGAAGGTTGACCAAAATAATAAAGAGAATGATGAAGATATTGAATTTAAAGTTTTTATGAAAAAAGGAAGAGATGAATTAGAAAAATCAAAAGGACAAATAAGGAAAAGCAATATAGGTGAATGTGAAGTGGTTGGAGAAAGTAGTGGAATTATTGAAATTGGTGAGAGTCAGAATAGTCAAGAGTCTGAAGTTCATTACGTCCAACCAATACAACTTAAAGAAACACATGCAACATTACCACTTTTTAGTGTAAAAGAAAGAGATCAGAAAGGTTTTAGAATAGAGTGTGGTTCATTAGTAAATTCATTAATAGAAGAGAAAGAAACAAAATCACCTAAAACACCGAAAAGTATTAGAGAACCAAAAAGAGAGAAAAAAACACAAATAGTTAAACAAATGCCAGAAGTTATTGATGTTGATTTTAATGGAAGTGAGTCAGATGAAAGTGATGACCTTAGTTTAATTAAAAAACAGGTTCAAATAAACGAAACAATAAAACAAAAAAATGAACGGTATAAAGAAATAAAAAGAATTAAAATATATAGAACATTATATAGTTTAGCTAAATTCAAAGATGGAAATTGGTTAATAAAAAGAAATGTTACCTTAGGAGAGAAAGATATTGGGATTTATATAAATACTTCTCCTAATAAAATAGAGATTCATGACCTTAGAAAAAGTAATGGAGAAGTAAGTCAAACATGGAATTCAAGAATAATTAAAGACCAATCACTTGCGTTAATGAATGTATATTCTGTGAGAGATGAAGTGTATTGTGAAAGAGAATTCAAAGAATTTGTTATTAACTTATTAGAGAATAGTGGATTTATTGAGATATACACACTGCGTTTGGACAGAAATTTGACTGACAGTTGGGTGTTTGTATCACCATTTGATCGAATAACTGGACATAAGTCACATGAAAAAATTCCAATTAATAATCCACATTTATTATGTGTATTTCCTGTACCAATTATATTAGAAAAAGATGAGTATTATGTTATTTATCATAACTATATTAAAAGAAGATCAACAAATGATTATTTAGCGATACAAATACGAATGAGATGAAGTTGATTTGATTTTTAAGATTAATTTAAGACTTTTTTAAAGAAAAAACTTAAAAAAATAATTAAATTGTTGTAATCCTATGATTTGGAAACTCCTTTTCTTATTATTTTTTATTTATTATGAATCATATGCAGAAGATGTAACACCTCATTCTCTATGTATTGGTAATGTATTAGTTGCTCCAATTAGTTTAAAAGAACAATTCACTGGAGACCCAATTCAAATAACCCAAGAATGTTATAAAGGTGAGGTTGATAATTATGAGTCAGTTGTTTTTGGTCATCAAATTCATTCTGAGTGTTATATAGAAGAGTCGTTTATGTTTTTTAGTTTAAGTAATACTAATTATTCTCGATGTGGTTCTTGTGTTGAGCTAACAGGTCCAGGACTAAAACCAATTACTTGTATGATTACTGGTTCATTTAATGTTCAAACAACAAGTAGCTCAAATTTAAAAACAAAAGGAATGTTAAAAAGAACAAAAGTTCCATCAACTTCAATGTTTAAAGGGAAATTGTCTTTATTAGTATCAAGAGTAGTTTTCAATGAAATTATTCCAAGTGAAATGACTGATTCACTATATTATTATGAAGTCGCATTAAGAGAAACTGTATGTAACTATAATGTTCTTCCACAATTGGTACTGAGAAATAAAACAAATGCTATTATTATTAATGCTGGTCATATTATTCTTGGATTAGGTCGTTCAAATGATTTAAGATTACCAAATCGAGATGGTTCTTTTACAATTTCACATACAAAAGAACTTCGTGCAACAAATATTTATCAAAGTATCATATATTGGGAAAGTATATCAATAGACAAAACTAATTATCAAAAACCACAACCTGCATTCTCTAGATTTTCTTCTCCAAATATTACATCACATTGTGTTAGTATTCCAACAAAAAATGTGTTTCAGTCATTAGTAGACCAAAAAAATACTCAAGTTTTCTGGGAAGTTAGTCTTGGAACTACTACAAATGATTTAAAAGTAATTACTTCAATAGGAAATAAAACAGTTGAAGACAATGAACAACTGGTTTTTCATTTTGACTATCCTGTTCCTATTCAATGGAAAACAATAATACAACATTTTGCTCTTGTTATCAGTTCAACTGATACCATTTCTTTCAAAAGTGGTAAGGTATATTTCAAACAAGGAGCTATTGATGAGATAAACTGTGATTCATTTAGATATCTTATTCAAAACAAAACTATTTCTTCTGGTATTTATAAATATTCTTTCAATGTCCACGCATCATTTATTACATCTACTTGTAATGGTTTTGCCAATGGGCTTGAGTTTATCATTTCTGCAGCAAAAGGAACAATAATACAATACGATGAAGTATATTATGAACCTCAAACATCAGAAATTGTCACTCCTTCTTCTTTCTGTTCATATGATTCATTCCAATGTGGAAAATATCAATGTACTTTATCTGAAAAAATATTACAACTTAATAATAACACTCATTCAATTTTTGAAACACCTAGCTGTATTCCGTATTGTGGAACGTGTCAGGTTGGATATTCATGTACTGAAGAAGGTATATGTCAACGAAACAAATAAAAAGAAATAGTTAATAGTAATTGAATTACTTTTAAAGATGGATCTGAGTTTTCTGGTCACAATTTAATCTGTACAATCCTTGGTAATTAGTTAATGTTACATAAGCACGATCAGATATAGTAATAAGAGATGATATTGTTGAGTTCATTACACCATCAGTAATTGGAGAATTAATAAAGAAATAATTCTTTGGTTCACAATGAGTTCCTGAAATTGAAAATTGATAAATTATACCAATTATCTCATGACTTTCTGAACCAGCAGCAACTGCTCTTCTAGTGTCACTATGAACCCAAGCAGATGGTGCGACAGCATAAACTTCAGTTGTATCCTTCAATTCAATAACTCTCATATACGCTCCAAATCGTTGATAATTTCCCCATCGTGGTAATGGGTTAATTGTTGCTCGGAAATCAAAAGCATCACCTTCCAATCTTCTTGATATATAAACAATTCCTCTATTAGATAAAGGATCAGAATACATTAAATATGTATTACTTATTTCAATTGCTTTACCTAAAGCTGCTAAATTCTGTGTTGGAGATGGGACAAAAACTTTATCACTAAAAGAAAATGGGAAATGTGGATTAGTTGTATCATCGTCTATAGACATGATGAGAATATTTTTTGTTAAAGTACTAAACTCATCTGCTCTTGTTTTAGGAGATCCAAAAGCAATTGCATTTCCATATGCATTCATTTCAGAAAGATTTGATTCAACAAAATTAGTTGTTATATCACTACAAAATGATTTATCGTATTTAATGTAAAGTTTTGATTCACTAAAACTAATGTACCCAAACATTACATCACCTGTACTTCCTTTTCCATCATCTGTAACAAATGAAATAACCATCATTAAGTTATTACTTTTCGTTGATAATACTGTTATACCACGAGCATACTGAGAAATTTTAAGTAATGTTTTACCGTCAGCAGCGTATTTATTAAAATTTTCCCAGTCAACAGTTACTTGGAGCATTGTGGTAATACCTTTTTCTGTTGGAAAATATTGAATTTCTGTTTTTTCTTGGATTGTATCAGCGGTAAAAGTGTCACTATTAACCTTAATTCCAACTGTTCCAAGTCCATACTCTCCCCACCAAATAAATTTATCAGAATAACACCTAGTTGAGTTTGGATTTTTTAATGATACATATCCATAACAGTATTGATTATCTTTCTTGATTTCATAAATAATACCATTATCAGCAGAAAAAACATTTGTTGGAATTTTTCCATCGGTACCAATTGTCATTTTTTGAACAACACATAAATCCATTGTATTTTTACCAAATGTAACAATAATTAACAAGAAGAATGTTGTTAACGTCATGTGAATTTTTTAGTTTTTATAATTTTTTTTAATATCTTTTTTCTTGAAATAAATACCACAAAAATTATTTTTCGTTATTCATTGTTTCTTTTTTATTTGGAAAATCTTTATCTAACAACATAATTAACACAATTCTTTTAAAACATTTTTGGTAGG